GGCTGAGGGGGCTTGGACGGCTTGACTGCGTCCGTCTTCGTACCCTTCCCCGCTTACGGACGACGCCTGAGGTCCCCAAGGGGCTGGAAACGATCAGGATAGCGTGGAGCGAAGAGACCGGTGTCGGCTTGGCTTCTCGCCCTGGTCGCCGCCCAGCAGCGGGTTTGGCCCTGGTCATGGACGGAGTGGGGATGCTGAGAGGGACTGTGCATCCTGATGGGGCCTGGGCTCCTAAGGAGGGATTTGGCTGCAGCCCTTTAGAAGGTAGGCCAGGAGCTGATGCAGAACGTATCTGTTTTGTTGAAGTGACCAAGTGGTTGCAGAGGTGGCTGCTTAAGAGAGAAACATGCAGCACCTTCTCCCTGAACGTCCAAAGACAGAAGTGTGACTGCTTCTGGAACTGCTGGTTCTGTGTTGGTGCTCTTCAGGTGGCTGTGGATTTGAGAAGCAATGGAAATGTAATAAACATCATCAGAGATGCTTCTTAGAGGAGCATCTTCTCTAGTTCAGAAAATAGTACACCAAAAATGTTCGTCTCTGTCCTTAGCATAACTAAACCCTAAAAGCCTGCAAACTGTAAGAATATTAGTTATAATAGAGAATACAGAGAATAGAATATATAGAGAATTATAGTTCATGTTAGGGCAAGAACACTATTCTGGAACATGCTGCTCAAAAAGGTAGCATTGTTTACTGAGCAGACAGTAAGAGAAGAGCAATCACTAGAATGGTGTATGTATGTAAAACACAGCAGAGGCTTAATGTATGAAAATTGTTATTAGCAGATATTACCATGTGTGCCCAGTGATTCAGGTTCCCTGTAGATAGCAGCCATTTCCCTTTTAACATTATATACTATCAGTTTTTGCATGGAACACTTTAATTGTGTGTCCCATTAATTAAAAGTTATACTAGCGTATTTACAATTTGCTCCTGCCCAAATGTCACCAGGACCGTAGTAGGTCTGTATGAATGGTTTCTTGGTTCTGTCTTTTCAGTAGGTGCTTTGCAGGAATATGGGACATTTAGCCTATCAGTACAATTTGGGAGCACAAGCACCAACAACCCAAGGCGAGACGCACTCAAGGGTTTGGCCAGTGAAGTCCTAGAGTGGTATCTTCGGCTCTGAATTAGGCACATACCCTACTCGATAAATTAAGATAGTTAAGTACTTAAGATTTGCAGCAGTCAAACTGCTAAAAGGGAACATGTCTTAAAATATCCAGGAGGAGTTTTTAAAGGGAGGGTTGAATCTAATTTCTTCTCTGAAGTTTAAGCATCCAACTTCTGACAACAGAGAGGTGTCAGTTTTGGTTTCACAGACTGAAACCTCTGCCTTTGAGTTTGCACCTAGAGTGCACTTCCAAAAAGTAAAAATAATAATAATAAAAATATAATAAAAAGAAGTGTAGGCTAATAATAGTTTTCTTTCAAAATACATAGAGGGAAAAAGAGAAAAGTTCCGGCTTTTATTCAGTGGTCTAGCTCTTTGAGGTCTTGTTAATGATAAATAAGGCTGTTTATTTTCTGGCTGAGGACTGTTACATGGGTATTTCAGGTTTATGAGTTACATGCCCTTATCTTCAAATACTCAAATAGCGGGGTGTTTGATGGGACTCTATAGGAAAGAGAACTTTGTAGCTTTGCATCCTCATCAGGATTCCCATATTCTGAAAGGATGGATGCTGCTTTCCCTTTTTCCAGACTCCTCCTAGTTGTGGGGGTCTGTTTGCTTGCTTTGGTGTGGGTTTTTTGTTGTTTTTTTGTGACAGGTATGGCTGTGGTTGGTTGTGGAGTGTGATCCTACAGATGTGTGCTAGGCATGTTCTGGGTTTGCCTGCAAGCAGGAATTTGCATGGAGTGCCTACACGTAGGTAGTTGTCAAACTGCTCAAAACTTGAAATCTTTGAAGAACTTAAAAATTGAGGGGCTTATGAAATTTGAGGGTTTGAGAATCGCACCTTGAAATTTAGCTACCAAAATTTTGTTCTGCTTACCACTTCAGAGGATCTGTTACTGACACTCTCAGAATTCTACCAGAATTCTTTGCTGGGGTGGGACCTAGAGTCTATATCTTCCAGTAGCTGAACCATTTACTCTCATGTGTTTGGTCTGAAATAATTTGCTTCAGTTTTAAGTGAAAAAAGTTAATTTCTATTTGCAAATTAGCTGCATGCATAATGGAGCAAATCTGTTTCTCTTGTTTTGCTTTCTCAGTACATATTCTCATATAGAAAATGTTGACTTTGGGGCACTTTTCTTTGTTTTTCTTTTCCTTTTTTTCTTTTTCATCTAAGGTTTGGTAGTCAACTGCTCAGGTCAAGGATTGCAAAAACTGGGTCCAGCCTTCCCCTGTGATGCTGATACTCACACTCTGATTCTGGACAAAAACCAGATAATTAAATTGGAACACTTGGAGAAATGCAAGAATCTGATGCAGGTCAGTGTAATTTAATTTGAATTTGCTATGAAATAATGGTATCGTGATGCTAATTAAAATACTTACGCTTTAAGAACATACTGTGTAATTTAAGTAAGTTAGCCTTTACTGTCTTCATAGGAAAATATTAAGTTGCCCGAAAAGTAATTGTGTGGTTTTTTTAATAGAGGGACTTACATGTCTTGAACTGTAACAAACTTCACTTTAAACCACAAATTCATGATGTAACTTGACAGCTGACAGTTCAAGCTTGGGTTAGAAAAAGAAAGCGCACAACTTCATTAATAATTATGTATTTGGTGTTGATTTCAAAACGAAAAATCAAGAGGAACATTTTTGACATATTTTGTTATATTGCTACTGAAAAGGAAAAAAATGCTGTGCAAGCTTACTAGTGATGTGAAGATGCCTTAAAACTACAGCAGTGTCACAATTGGTTTGCTGAATTTTAGTCCAGACATTTTGATGTTAAAGATGCAACTACGCTCAGGAAGGCCAATCAAAGTTGATAACAACAAAATGAGTGCAGGGATAGAATCCAATCAGCGTTTAAAAACACAAGAGATTGCTGATAATCTTAGTGTATTGAAATGGAGCATTAAAAACCATTTTAAACAGCTTGGATGCATTAGGAAGCTCAATATTTGGGTACCACATGAGCTCAAAGAAATTCGTCCCACTAAGCGTGTTGACATCTATGATTTTTTCTTGAAGTGTGTTCTTTGCGATCCACTTTTGAAACGTATGATAACAGGCCATGAAAAATGGATCATCTACAGCAATGGCGAATGAAAAAGATCATGGAGCAGGCGTGATGAAGCAGCTCAAAGCACTTCAGCTGTTCACCAAAGGAAGGTGATGCTGTCAGTCTGGTGAGATTTCAAAGGTATTGTGCATTTTGCGTTGCTTCCAAGGAAGCAAACCATTAATTTGGAGGTGCACTGTTGTCAACTGGATAAATTGAATGATGCCATCAAACAGAAGTGTCCAGAATTGGTGAATCGTGAAGGTGGTGTGTTTCTCCATGATAACACAAGATCACATACAAGTTGGTCACTCATAAAAAATTGTTACGGCTTGGATGGGTTGTGTTACCACATCCACTGTATTCACCAGACCTGGCACCATCAGACTGCCATTTGTTTTGTACTTTCAAAACACCTTGAATGGTGAAAACTTCACCACTGCTGAGGATATCAGATCATTCTTGGAACTGTTTTTTGCTGAAAAAGTTAAGAACTTTTTTGAGTGCAGAATCAGGAAGTTGCCTGAAGGATGGCAAAAGGTAATTGAACAAAATGGGCACTATATTGTTTAATACAGTTTTTGTTTCCCATGAAAATTTAGCCTTTCATTTACCTAGAAAAAAACCCCACAATTACTTTTTGGGCAACCCAGTAAATAATGGTTAACTAAAATAGAAAGGTTTGTTTTCAGTGTACCTCTACAGTCGACAGTGGGGGAGGCTGTTTTGTAGTTACCTAGGCAACTACAAATGAACTAAATAAGTCCTAAGGTGGGGGAGGGGTGATGTCATAAGGAAACTTAGAAAAGTCACTGATAACCTACATTTTGACACTTAAGTTTTGAATACTTGAGCTTTGTAACCTTAAAAATAACTTTGTTTTATCTTTCCTCTGTGTAGTTGTAAACAGGCATACATACATACAGGACTCTCCTCTCTATTTGTGTTTCAGAACTCTTCACAAAGAGGATTTGTAGTCTTAATTTATGAAAAGAAAAAAAAGGCAGGATTAGGTTAAAATGAAAAAATAGCAAATAAAAAAAGAAATGGGAAGGATCTGTCTAGTCTTGTTAACATCTATTCATGTAGGCCCTGATGTTGCTAGTGCTTATACTTAATTTTAATACTAGCAACTGTCCATATAAGTTCATGAGGGTATTAGTGATAACAATGTTAAGCCTGTGCATGGTTCTTGCAAAAATCAGAGTATTAATCCCTCCAGGGCAAAGCTGTACAAGTCCATGTTAATTATCACTGAAAGTCCCTCCAGATAGACTTGAAGTCACCTAATTGCTTCTAGAGACAAGCTAAACTGAGACAGGAGAGGTGGGGTTTGTTGCTAGAACAAACCTTCACCAGTCTCCCAGCTTGATGATCATGTTATTAATGTGTATTTCTAATCAGGGTTTATCCTTTAAAAAGCTTGTAATTTACAGTCCTGTTAGCACAGGACCTTTTTGAGAATCATGTGGTATATATTTTGTCCTCTGCTGTATTGACAGTAAGTATGACTTTACACCAGAAATAGTGCAGCAATTTACACAATGACTTGGCAATTCTGGCTTTCAAGTCTTATTTTCATATGACATGATTCCTCATTCATTCTCCTTTATTTAGCTGTTGCTAGAAGGATTTCTTCTTAAGTTTGCAAAGTGAATTGTGAAGGCTGCTTTCTTTCATCAGTAATTTATTTCTTGGCTCTTGCTGGTTTTTGTCCGTTTTATTTTCTTGAAAATGGGATACACAGATTAAAGTAGTTCCTATTGGATTAGATTAAGTGCTAAAAATAAAAGCCTGTTCTGTCTGTGCAGTTTAATAATTAAAACAGTTTCTTTTACTTGTGTGTCAATCTGCAGCTCTCTGTAGCCAGCAATCGTTTGGTGCGAATGATGGGTGTAGCAAAACTGACCAAGCTCCGGGTGCTAAACTTGCCTCATAATAGTATTGGGTATGTGGAAGGACTGAAGGATTTGGTGCACCTGGAATGGCTGAACTTGGCAGGAAATAACCTTAAGGTAAAGTATTTAGTCACTGTACATTTTTCTAGAATCTAGCGTTGTAGAAATTTGGAAAATGCTGCAAAGAAATATGAATACGTTTCTGGTTTTGATTGGAACAAATGTAGAAGTTTTGCATCTACTGGTTTATGAAAGAGAAGAGGACAACTTTTGGACAAGAATTTTCTAGGAAAAAAAATAAAAGGTTTGATATAATAAGAATTGGGAAGTACTATCCAAAATATGAAAAGAATTATCTTCTTTAAAATGAAACTGTGAAAGTGCAGTTTTCATTTTGGGTTACTGATCTGGTGTTTTTTTACCTTTCAAAAACCATTCATAATTATTGATACCTGGTTTTATATAATGACTGAAAGAGTTACTGTGAGTAATTGACTTCTGTATTTTTGTAGGTGATTGAGCAAATCAATTCCTGTCTATCTCTTCAGCATCTTGATTTGTCAGACAACAACATAGCTCAATTAGGCGATCTTTCCAAGCTTACATCGCTGAAGGTAGATGTTTCTGTTACATGCTTTGCATAGAGAAATTTGCTTTAAAAATTGCTGTCATTAGAAACATTCATTATTCAAGCACTAGTTCTTAGAGCGTTTTAACTAATCAGTATAAATTCTAGCAGGAAGCATGTAACAATTCCTTCTTTTTAAGTTGCAGGCACTGAGGCAGTAATTTTTCTGTAACTACTGTAATGATTTTGATAACGATAACATGATGAGGTCTTGTTCATAGCTCTCGGTTCTGTTATGCCATGAATCAAGACAAAATGTAGTGTTAACCCTTTCAGCGTGAACACTAGAGAAAAAAATGTTTTCAATTGCCTTTTCTGCAACTGTGACTATACTTCAGTTCTACATTTTAAAATGAGAGGATTTTGCTCTGAAGTGTGTTTTCCCTTGCTGGAATAAGCAATTTTTTTTTTAATTATACCAGAAAGCTTTAACTATAGTTCTTTTGTGTGTATCGTGCAGGTATTGCCTGAACAAAAAACATGGGGGTTTTGATAGAACGTACATTTCATCATCATGTTCTTATTTTATAGACTCTGTTGCTACATGGAAATATCATAACTTCACTTCGCACTGCCCCTGTTTGCCTACCTCAGAACCTGACTGTTTTTTCTTTGGCAGAAAATGAAATTGGAGACTTAAATGAGGTGAGATACAGAAGACTTTAGGTAGACTGAAAGCAGATAGTTGGATGATTCTTTTGAGAATGTAAATGAATATGAGCTTTCTTCTTTGAAACAACCAGTATTGATAGCCGTAACTGTGTAATAGTCTATATGTAATAACTATACTTGCGTTAGCAGCACAAGCTAGGTGACACGTTTTAAGACTTACCCTTGAAAGAAACTTTGCTTTTTTGTTCTTTATTTTTACATTATTCAAGGATGTCAGAAATTTAACGATTACATTTATAGAGAGATTTTTATGATTGCCTGAAGGTTGAAAGCTGAGCTGATTAACTGCTGCAGAGGGCTTCTGCAGCTGCTGTGTTTAGAACAGAGGTTTGAATTGTGCTTGTTTTGACTGAATGTTTTTGGGCCTATGTCTTATTTTATCTATTTCTCAGACATTGTATAAGAGAAACAAATGCTCTGCTTGTGATTTTTGTCTTTATTGTTCTTTTTGGGTTTTTTTGGGAATATAAGTAGCAGCCAAAACTGTCAGTTGAACTCCGATGTTTTAAGAAAAGTCTTATTTTGGTGATAAATTTCTCTTCAAAACAGGACAGTGTTTCTCCAGCTTTTTTCCTTGCCTTTTTTAAAATTCTTTTTCAAAATCTCAATACCTGTTGTAGTGAACTGGAATCATAGAAATGCTGTACAGATCTTAAGATAAGCTAATACTTTCCAAGGACTATTCTACTTACAGGAGAATTAACGGGAAAATGGCAGTAGTTGTTAGAAGGTCTTTTAAAGATGTTCATGTTCAAAAAGCAAATGTTATTTTCATTGTATATGTAACAATGTTTTGTGTGAGATGTCTAGCTGTAACTAGGAGAAATGTAGTATGTTCTGTAAGCATTTAATGGGTTGGTTCTGTTTGGTTAACAAATATAACTGTTTTTCTCAAGGTTTCTTTCCTGGCTTCTCTCCGTCAGTTGGAACAGTTGTCAATTATGAACAATCCTTGTGTGATGGCCACACCTTCTATCCCTGGCTTTGACTACAGGCCATATATTGTCAGCTGGTGTCTGAACCTTAAAGTTCTTGATGGATATGTGATTTCTCAGAAGGAAAGGTGACATAGAATTAAAACTCTAAAATTTGGCTAAGCTGAAATTGCATTTTTCTATAATAAAAATGGACAAGTGCTAATGATCTGAAATTCTGCTTGTCTTTCTAATGGCCATATGATATAGACAGACCAATTAACATTGTTCCTTTTGCTGAAGTTTTAGTATGTTACACTAGAATTAATAAGTAAAATTACAAGTTTGTTTAAGTAGAAATATAAAGTTAAACTTTGGTTTTATTTCTCAACTCACAGTAGCACTATGACAAAGCAAAACTGTGGGAGCAATTTATCAATGGTCTGTTACGTCTTCCAAGCTTACAACCTCTTTGACACTTACAGAATGAGACAGCAGATAATGAAGCTATTACGTTGGGGAAGCTCAAATGTGCACTTCTGTGAAGGGCCTAATTTGTGTGTGCGTTTCTAGATTTGGCTTATTTGTATCAATTAGTCAAATATTATTTTGCTTAAATCATTTGTTACTGTTTCATTGTGGTCGTTAGATCACTCTGATATCTGTATGACAGTAGCTATGTCTTCTTAAAGATCTCGACATCAGAACAGTCCAAGCATAAATGTTTTCCAGTATAAACACATTCTAGTCCAATACATTAACATATTCCTGGACTTTAATATCTCTTTTTTTTCCCCCATTACTAAAATAAAAAGCTTCCTTTTTGTCAAAGGTAAACCAGTTCTGTTTCTGTTTCACCATAACATATTATGACTTTCCCAAAAAGCTGTCTAAAAATTCTCAAATTTTTTTTGTGACCAATGGGGTTTCCTGTATTAACTGTTTTATTACATATAGTTACATTATAATCTGTGTTCTCAGACTGAAGAGCATTTAATTTAAAACCAGATTTCAACTGCTGAATACTTTCAGTGATGTTGAATACTATTCTCTGTGTTTGTGTGAACTTCTCTGTTTCTGTAAAAGCTTTGCTGATCAGTTCATTGACACAAATGTGTTTTCACTGCTCAAAGAATACACACAGGTAAAACAGAGACCATACAGTTTTGGTCAGAGTTTTTTTTGTTTGTTTGTTTCATCAATGCTTATATGAGGGAATACATTATTCTGGTACTGAAATTCACAGTTCCTCTGGGCACTGTAGATGTTCCAGGTTTTGATTAGATTTGTGAATTAGTTCTTAGATACCAGAAAAACAGTAATCAAATGAGAGTTAGGGGTTTAATGCCATGTGTTAATGATGACCACTATCCCCCTTCCTAACAGTTTGAAAGCAGAATGGCTCTACAGTCAAGGTAAAGGAAGATCCTATCGACCTGGGCAGCACATTCAGCTAGTCCAGTACTTGGCTACTGTTTGTCCTCTTATATCTGCATTTGGTCTGCAGACTGAAGAGGATGCCAAACTGGAAAAAATACTGAGTAAGCAAAGGTGAGAACTTCTTGTTTCTCTAATGTTAGAGAGTGTAATTGAGAACATAATTGCATGTTCTATTATGTGTTAGATATCATAAGATTTCCTTTTAAGTATTTCAAAGCAACAGTGAGGGCTGGAGATGGGAAGAATCATGAAGGTACAGGATATGTCATGAAGAGGAATGAGAGGCAAGGCAGCAGCAATAGTGTTTTCCTGTTTACTGGGCCATCTAGAGGCAAATTCTCTGTGTTTTTCAGTCTGTGCTCTGTAGGACATTGAACATGATGTACATTAGGACTGTGATTAAAACAAACTACCTACAGAGATTTTTTTTTTGCCACAGAGAAAGTGAGGAAAACCTCAAAAAGGAGATTAAATTAACTTTTGTTCTAATTACTGTTATGGTACATTAACGTATTAGCCACTCTTCTGTTAGCATGTTCTTTCTTGGTTTTAAAGTTAAGGTTGTCCTTTGAGGGATGCTGTTCCCAGTGATGCACTTGATGATTGCTGCACCTGGCACCTCCAGTCTGTCATCAGAAGCCTTGATAGAGTGTGGATGTTCTGCCTTCTTGCTAAGGTCTATGCAAGTAGATGAGGAAAGTTACTGTGTTGTACTTTCCTCTGGTGAAAAGGTGAACTTACTGAGATTAAAAGCCAGAAAATGTAACAACGCAGGTATCCCTGTTCCCTAGGACCTATTGACAAACTTTTTTGCAGAAAAATCAAAGCAGAAGACTCAGCTCAAAGGAGCAGGCTATGTAAGTGGCATAGTGTGGGTTGATAGTTGGACAACAAGTGTTGTCCAACACTTGCAGAAGGGTGACATCTCATCAAAAGGACTGGAAACTTGGGAGTGTCTGCAAGGATCGACTGCATACTTTGTCAGTGTAGATTGATCTCTGGGAGGAAACTATAGAGACGTCGGGGCCATTTCAGAGCATAAGGTCCAATAAAAGTATATTGACGTTGAAATTTCCAGCTAAGTGCTCTGACACTTGCGTGATGTTTCTGGGGAAAATTCAGGGAGTTGGCTTGCAAAATATAACTCTTAACGAAACACAAACCCTCACCAAAAATGCAACCCCACAACATCTCTACCCATAAGTGTGTGTGTGTGTGTGTGTCTATATATACACATACATATATGATTTATAAGGCAGTGTCATGGTTTAACCTGGCAAACAGCTAAACAACACACAGTATGCTTGCTCAACTCCCCCTCACTCCCCAGTGAGATGGGGAAGAGAATGTAAAAGCAAAAGAGCTCACCAGCTGAGATAAAGACTATTTAATAATTGAAATAAGCCAAACTGAAAATAATAATACTAAGGAACTGCAACAAGAATAGGAACAACAATAACATAACAATTAAAGTTATAATCAGCTCACAGACAGCAGCCACTGACTGTATGCCAGTGACAGCATGACAAGGGAGGGGTAAGCCTAAGGAACCGAGATGGGCTTCCATCACGAAGGAGAAGGGAAAGGATCAAAGGGGTAAAAGGTGCGAAGTAGAAGGGTTGAAGAGGTCATCCCCTGCAAACTCCCCAATTTATAGTGAGTGTGACATTTATGGGATAGAATACATCCTTATTGGTCAGCTTGGATCATACCTGGATCATTTGTCCTGGGTCATCTATCCCAGAGAGTTCCAGGCTTTTGCTTCCCCCTCTTGTGCAGAGAGAAGAAAAAACGAAACAAAGCAACCAAACAAAACAAAAACCCACAGGTACAAGTGAAACCTCAAAAAAAAAAGAATCTAAGTATCTGCCATCAAGAACAAAAACAATAGCCTTATCAGCAGACACTGCAGTTTTCTCAGAAATCCAACTCTGCTGAAACATTAAAAGGGAATTGTACAATTCTGTCCCAGCAAAACCAGGACAGGCAGTTTGACTTTCTTACCTCTGCCTCATGATCTTTGAATTTAGGCTGGACTGAAGCAACCTGTGTGTTTTCTCAGTTTGTAAAGGATGATTTTGTTTGATTGTCCTTGATTCAGTCTTTTTGAACTGTAAAAGACACTTCCTCCATTCCTCAAACTCCTCTATGCATACAGGTGTAAAGTATCTTGCAGTAGACACTTAAAATATCTGCATACCTTCCTTGTGTGTAGAAATACTTCATGATTCTCAGTCTATAGTCATAATCTTGTGTTGGACTTTTTTTTTTTTTTGATACATGTAAGTGTATTGAAGAAAGAGGGGAAGGAGGAATGGGAACAGCAGCAGTCTGTACAATCCCTTACTTTGTGAGTAGTCCCGTTAGCGTCTTGTAGATGTAGGGACAGGCATAATTAGCCTCTTGTCTAGAATGGTTTGATCACTTGTTTCCTTTAAAGTAGTTGATAGTTTCTTTTAAATTTCTTCTATACCAAAAAAGTGTAAAAGAAATGTCAAATCTGTTGGAACTCTGTGCTTAGGCTCCACCAGAGGCAGTTGATGCATCAAAACCAAAATGAAGGACCACCTACAACTTCTACTCCCAGCAAAACACCACCAGTTACTTTTGAACACAGCAGTCCAGCTCAGCCACCACAGATAGTTCTTGAAAGTGGTAAGAAGCTAATCTGCACCTGTGATCTAACCTCCGGAAATATTTTCTTTTTAACATAGATAATTCCGTGGAGAGTTATAACAAGGTCCTGGTATTATTTTATTCTGTTGATTTTTTTGGAGACTTTCAACTGAAATTATGCTTTGTTTTCTAAAAATATATTCCTTGCTTATTCATGTCTTGAAATGCTAGTAAGATTGCTATGTGAAAAACACAATCCAATAAATGAAAGAGTTATTACTTTGACTATTCCTTCTGATAAAAGTGTAACTTCTCCAGGGGGAGGCAGTTTGTCCAGTTTACTGTACCCAGTATATGCAAGGATTGTGGATGTTACTGTGATAAGTAGTTATTATTCTTGTTGTTATATAGAAATAATGCTTATTACTAGCATTTTAGATCTTTCATACCCAGGTTCTAACTATCTAAACCAAACCATGAATCCCTATGAATTAAATGAAGATATGCTACTGAATACCATGACACTTTTGAATATGGGTTTCTGCCTATCTAGAACCTGTCATCCAGAAGAATTCTTGGGTTGGACCGAGTGCAAACGATGACCATTCCTATGCAGTAAAGAACACTTTTCTTCTTGAAAGAAGTTTTCACAAGGACCTATACCTTGAAGATATACAGACAGATGAAGACAAACTAAACAGCAGCCTTTTATCCTCAGAGTCTACTTTCATGCCAGTTGCTTTAGGATTGTCTCCAGTGTCTTCTACTTCAGACCTGAAGCTACATGGAATCAATTTGAGCCTAGAAGATGATGGTGATACAGTGATCGAATGTGGGAGAGAAACAGCTAACAAGCAAGAAGCTTCATGTGTTACAAGAGGGCACTTGAACAGAGCAGTGGGAAGAGTGGCAGCTCAGGAGAATGTAAAAGAGAGTATGCTGTTGCCTTCTCCTGGTGTGGTAACAGCTGGCCTGACTGCTAATACTGGTAACTGCTCAGCATCCTCTGAAGACCAAGTTCTGCAGAGTCACCCCAGCACCTCAGTAGATGCTGAATCGGGAGTTAGAACTCTCTGTCCTGACCAGATGACAGGAGAAAGTTCTGATTCATTAGCTGTTGTTGATCAAGGCGCAGCTGAACTGCGAAGAATGACTAAAGCAGCTACTAAGCTTCAAGCCTGCTGGAGAGGATTTTACATGAGGAACTACCATCCCCGAGTCAAGGAAGTGCGGTATGAAATTCGACTAAACAGAATGCAGGAGCACATCGTTTGCTTAACTGATGAATTAGAAAAGTAAGTTGAGATGATGCTGTGTATTTTCAGATTCGAATTAATATTACCGTTGTTTCAGCATACATAAATCTTGATACACATACTCACAGTAGACTAGTATCGTTGGTATAAAACTGTGATTATAGTAGAGGGTTGCTTCCTGTAAGATAAGAACAGTTCTGCACGTGACTGTTCATATTCTCAAAGTGCCTTCTATGAGTGGGTTGAGTTAGAATACGTTTTTCTGTTCCTCTGTTAGCAGGACTTGCAAGTTTCTCTGAGTAACAAAAATAGAAATTCCTGAGTGTTGTGGTTTGGTTTGATTTGTTTTTTTTCAACTTGTCTCCTAGCAATTACAGAGTCTATAAATGAGGTGTCCATATTGAATGTCATTTCTCTGTTACTGGCAAAAAGAAGAATTCTCTCTGCCTTGCATGGTACAATTCTAAAATGTGATTCTGTGCTTGGTTCTGGTTTTTGGTGTTTTGTTTGGGTTTTTTTTTGTGGTGGGTGGTGTTGTTGGGTTTTTTTTGATCCTATGAATCCACGTTTGGAGGAGATAATTATCAAAGTTCCTCAATTTGTAATATATTAATTGTGGATTTAATTAATATCTTTCTGGATCAGCCTGGGAACTGGTGGTCTGACAGGCTCTTTTCTATCCCAAACAACAATAGTTCTGTGAGCCAAGTTGAGCCCTCGGTGAACCTCTAGAAACTCCCATTGCTTACGCATCATACCTACGTCCAAATTGTATCACTTGGGGAGAGCATAATTTGAAATGATGGAGCACTCTTTTGGGTTTTTGGGAGGGTTGGGGTTTTTATTTGTGCAGAAAAAAGAAGCACAGCTACCTAAAATTAAGTTATTGGGTTCAGTTTACAAAAAGGCACTTAAATTATTGGCAAGTCAATAAATGTGCTGCAGCCAAAGGAAGAAGAATCTTAATGTAATTCTGAAAAAGAAACTTGAAGTCAGCAGCTGGATATTTACGGCAAGCCAGACTGCAGTAATGTCTTAATGTTAGGCTCTGTTGTAGCTTTCAAGAGTGCTGTTATATAAGTAGGCATTTTTATGTGTTCTTGTTGATCTTGTTACCCAAATGTTGCTTATTTAAGCTGCATAAATTTGGATGTGTGTTCTTCCAGACTAAGAAAAGAAAGAGAGGAAGATAAGGTTCAGAGGCTTGTACAGGAGGAAGCGGTCAGATTTCTTTGGAACCAGGTAAATAGTTTTAGTCCTTTTTTTGCTTACACATGAATTTGAAAGACACTATTTCATATTGTAGTTCCTGAAGAGATAGTCAATACAGTTCATTTTCTCCAATGATGACTTGGGTGGCTTATTAGAATCTAATTGCTGTGTTGTTTGCTATACTGGTACTGTGGGGGAAAGTAACATTCACAAGTATTAGTGCAAGAACACTGGCTTTGTTACAGAAGGCTAAATTATGGCCTGGTGTGAGGAGGACAAAATGCAAGGGAAGCTAAGTAAATGTAGCAGAATTGTGAAGAACAATGTGACTCCCAGATGCTCAGAACAAATGAAATGGTGTCAAGCTATGTTGCTTGTGAGCAACTGCTTTTTAAAGTAAAAAAGTTATTAATACATCTTCTAATAAACTATTCTTCCAAAAATAAGACTGTTTTCTTAAGCATGGGTTATTTCATAAGGATCCCCATCCTTTCTGTTTTTAAGAGCAGATTCCTTTTTCTTCAGGTACTTGAACTTGGGAGGCTTGTGTGCTCTGTCAGTGTTGGGCATCTAGGTTTAAAAGCCTTTATGTAACAGTGGGAAGAACATATTTTCCCTAAAGGTATAGCAAACCTTTTGTTAGTTCACATGCCCTTAAATTTTATACTAGAACTTTGTTCGGATTGCAAGAAATACTCTAGAAAGCAAAGTACTTTCAGTGGTGTTTCATAATGAAATTCTCCCTGTACTTTACAGGTTAAGTCCCTTCAACAATGGCAGCTTTCTGTGATGCAAAATTTAGGTGCTGCTTGGCAACCTGGGGTCCCTTCAGCCAGTACTTCTGGTCCATCCAAACCATCTATTGGATCATCCACACTTGAGCAAGAAACCCCACCAGGTGTTAGTGCTGCTTGCTTAGTTCCAGCGAGTGATGTTCTTCAGGAAAAGTCTTTGTTGCAGTTCCCAGATTCTGGTTTTCATTCTTCCATGGCTGATCAGACTCAAGCTGGGGACTTGTGTCTCTCTGAAAAGAGTTTAACAGAAGGAACTGAGAGCTCTCTTTCAGTGGAAACTGTCAAACAATGTGGCAAGCCTGTCTCAGCGTATTCCTCAGATCTAGAGGATGACCATGGGGAATTTGAGCAAAGTAGAGAGAGCTCTAGTAATGACCAGGACAATGGACTCATACAGCAGTATTTGGAATCTGTTCAGCAGCTGGAAGAGGCTGATGAAGGGGCAAGTTGCAACGATGAAACAGAGAGCAGCTGGCCACCAATTGCTGTTTCTGCAGAAAGTCAAAATTCTTCATCTGATGCTGTCTCTGTAGATCTCCCTCAAGATGCATCATCCCCTGCCAGAGGTGAAATCAGTCAGACACCAGAAAGCTGCAAACTGAATTCAGGAATAGTAGAAGGGAAGCAAACAGACTGTGATTCCTCATTTCAGATGCTGCATGTTGGGATAGCTGTATAGTGGGCTCAGTTCCACAAAGAACTAGGGATTCCATTTTGCTTTCCGTTCGCGTTCTTTTTCCTATTTATACATAACTTATTTTTTGTGTGCTGTTTCAGATTTTGACTCATGTTACCAATTTATGTTTTAATTAGTATTTTATTGATGTTGCTGAGAACTGACACTAACTATGCTAACCTGAAATCAGTAAAGTTCTCAGTGACAGGCATTATGCACTTTATTTTCAAACATAAACCTGATAGCCTAATAACCAGCTTCCATTAAATTAATTCTCAAGATTGAGGGTGTTGGGGGTGGTGGTAGTGTTTGCTGTAAATTCACTTCAGTGAATGTGTAAGAAAGTTTTGATTTTTTTCGTTTTTTTTTTTAAAGCAAGATTGAGTTCTTACTTTGTAAAGAGAAGGAAACAATATGGGAAGAAATGGAGTCAATATAGGCAGTGTGTGTGTCCGGATACAGCCTCATGAGAAAGATGAAAGCAGTTGCCTTTCAGATTTCTTTTTACTTTAACAGGAGTAATTTGGTCAGTATTTCAAAGATGCATTACATGAAATCAGTGTCCAAGTCAGTGACTTTTTTGTCATTTACTTGAAGCTACTGGCTAGGAATTAGGTCATTTACATATCCACTGAAACAAGGACTTACGGGAGTGAGACTTCAGGGAACTTCAAACAAACCTTGACCTTTGTTTGCCCTGAGGTTGAATTTCCCTGCTTTCTCAGGTTAAGACTCAAAGTAGAACCAGTAGCAGCCTTTACTACATAAGAATTTCAAAAGGGCATGTGATTTGGGAACATCGTTTCCAAGACCGCACTGCTGGCTTACAGCAACAGCAGACTTGGTGCCATATGTTTTGCCTCCACAAGGATGCTAATGTCACTGTGGGATTTGCATCTGCATGACTTTCAAGACATTAGTGTGTTTGGTGGATCACAACTACTTCTATCTACAGATATAAATATTAAAAGCAAATTACTTAAGTGACTTAAAGTGACTTAAGACTATTTCTTGGCATCTCTTCTGGGTTTTTTGTTTTTTGTCTCTGTCCAATATTTAACATCCTAATTAGATGTGGATTAAAAGCTGTATTTCTTCCCTGTTGGCAAATGTGCTAAATTGCCTAGGCTGTACTTACCACTTAAGCACCAGGCAGGCAATAGGGTTTGTCTTAGCCATTACTATGTTGTTTTGTTAATGGAAAAAGATAAGGTATCTTGGTGTACCACAAAAGTGGTAAGGGAAATATGTTTTCCCCTGCGATTCATGATGGACACTAGTAAAATAAAAATTGACATTGTGACTTCTAGGAGTCAATTTAATTTGCTATTACTACATTTTGCAATGTGTACTGGAAGGCCAGTGCTTCAGTAGTTTGCTGATACTACTTAGATAGAAAGACGCATGCATATTTTAATTCCCTGAATCCACAGGTTAACTTCTGGTGCTATGACATTGTTAAAACCAACTAGCGCTGTTTTCAGGTGACTCTTATGGCCATGTTACTATGTAAAATAATTTAATTTTTGTAAAAGCTTTGGTTGCTTGTCTGCTTTAGGTTCTAAGCTGAAATTTACCACTACTCAGGAGTTTGGTGTGAGGCCAGCATCTGCTTGAGGCCTCAAAATAGCCTTTATTTAGAACATAAAGGTGCATTGGACTTGTACCAGCCATCTACCTAGTGGTGAATTTCACCTTGGAAGGATAAAGCTTGCCTCTATGTATAGAGTAGCCAATATCTCTTTTTTTTCCCCATCCCCCCAAAAATAAGTTCAAGGGCACTAACTTCTCAAAAGAGCTGTCACTGCAGTCAAGCTGACATTTGGCTGTGCCTTGCGTACATGAGAGCATTTTAAAAAAAACCTGATGTGGTAGGGTCTTCATGTGCTATCTCTCTAACTGAGTCTAGTTACAGAACATTTGTAGCATAACCATATACACAAGTAGATTTTGAAGCATGAGTGTGCATGGGTATTGAAAGTGGTACAGGTGCATTAATGTATCACAACAGCTAATCAACTGTGCAACGAAGTGTGTAGGCTACGTGAGCGTACCCCTGTCCTCTGAAGGTTCTCAACTTGGATTGAAGTCTGCCATGCTTGGAGATCTCCGCAGTTTATAGGATTTGGCTCTTTGACCATCAGTCTGTTACAAAAAAAAAAATCTCTTGTAAACCTTTAGAGATACTTTATTTGGGTTTTGTGAGAGAAATTATTTCTGTCTGTGAAACAGCTGTTGGACCTTTTGCTCTGGAGGCAGTGGTTAGGTTCATAAAACATTCAGTTCCCTTTTGTAGCAGAATGCTGTATTAGCATATGCAAGACCTGGGAGGAGCTGGACCACTGTCTGGATAAAAATGTTTCACTTACTGAAGGCACTGAGGGACCCGATATATTTTGCTATTTTGTTGTATTGTCACTTTTGCTGCAGAATTAGAAAGAGGGGAAACAACTTTAATTTTCGAGGTGTCAAAGGGGGGAAACTTGGTTAAACTTTTTTTTTTTTGTGAAACCCCTAGGTATTTCTTGACATTTCCTCTGTAATTACAGCTTGCAAACACAGGCACAAGAAGACTTATTTTAATTAATCCCTAGGTCAGCTGTGGACGTTTTTCAACATGTAACCTGTATATACAAAATTGATTTTATGATGGTACAGCAAGTGTGTACCAGCATATAATCGGGTTTATCTTAGTCTTTTGGGGAAGCTGTGAAATAGGAAAGATTTTTTTTCTTTTCTGGTATTCTGAAAAGTATCCTGCATGTGTAGAAGATGAGCTACCTAAATATACAGAAATTATGAAGAATGATGAAGTTTGGAGTAGATTTCATAGTTTTTACAGGGTTAAATGTAATTAGTTTGTATATACACAAAACATTTCCATCCTGATCATTGAAATATGTACAGGAAAAGATATAATGGGGTATAAAGTGGAAAAATATGGAATCAAACTGGATGTATACGTAAAAATGCCTTCTTTTGGTGAATTTTGAGCTCTCAAAGAATCATGACATGGAAGTATCATAGTTTAAGATATGCCTTAACATTTACTCTTCTTTGTCTGTATAAGTTTTCTTAATCTAGGTATGTAATATTCTTTTACCTGAATAGGGATGCACAGCTCCCTTTGGAGATGTTGGAAGTTTCATAAAGGAATCAGAAGGCTTAATATATGAAAATCCATGTCTGAAATTTTCTTGTATTACACATCTTTCAGCATTTTCCTTTTGCAAGGCTTTCATATTCAGTAGAAGAATGTACTTTGCAGAAGTGAAGTTTGTCTGTTGAGCTTCTTCCTGGGCTGATCCTCCAGGCTGATGGAAGAGATTACTGATGGTTATTTGTCAGGCAACGTTGTCAGCTCTGCCATGAGTGCAGTTTAAGTGCTGCTTTCATTTGTTTCAGAAAAATGTGCTAAATATAGCTCAGACTACTTAAACCGTGCCACACAACTCGTTGTGCCCCAGATGAGATGGTTGGCACGTGGAAACCTCTCTCAGCTAGTCTGTGGCAGAGAACTTTTTTGCCTGCATTTCTGAAGGGACAAGGGGGAACGTGGAAATGCATTTATATGTGTTTTCAGGTTTAATCTGTGATAGCAATCATAAAAGAGTTGATGTTACCATTTCAGTTTTCTCCCAGTTTTTTATAGCTTACATATTTCAGTCTCTCGTGTAATCAGGAATGCATTTTTCCTACTGCATGTAATATTTGATAGACACTGTTCCAGATGGTATTTGGAAAGGGAGGAGATGATTGTGAAAGCAGGCCTGTTCACATTTTGTATCTCAAGTTTTGGGTTGGATTTTTTTTAAGGTATTTGGATTGTATTAATTCCTTTCTGTTGAAGAACTTCTTTACAAAAGAAAAACACAAGGCAATGCCTCATTAATGACAGTAAGTATATTTCTGTTTCTGCCTTCTTCCGTGTACCCAGCTTCATGGTCACAACTCTGGATGTGAAACTGTCGTTTAAGAGAATGGGCAATTTAGCTGCTGAATGAACAAAGCAACAGTAATATGGTTTTTTGTGGTGACTATTCCTGTGTGGTGCTATTTTGTAAACAAAGTATGTGTGGCAGGGTTGGAATTTCTAAAAGGTACTGAACATTGGCCTAACTCTGTTTTCATTTCCTTAAAAGAAGCAGGGTCATGGTTGAGTCTTTGTGAACTGGCTGCCTAAATCGGAGTTTTGTCATACTTAGCACCTCCAGGAGTGTTCTTACACCACAAAGCAAGAAGGCATTAAGAGTGCAAATTTTATTCTATGGCTTCTAAAACACAAATATCTTTCAGCAAATACTTGAGACAAGTCCCTGTTAAACTACATTGCAGAACCTAACCATATGTTTATAGTTTCAAGTTCTTTGAACAACCATACTATTTGTGTGCAGCAATTTAAGTAATGCTTAGCATCCAGTCTGTCTGTATATATATATATATATAAAAAGGGGGTTTTTCCCTAAACAATGTTGTATGTCATTGAGCTTGCAAATTGTTCCTGTTTTTTATAAATTTGTGTATATTGTCTGAAGAACTCCAATCTTAATTTCTACTTGTAGCAGGTTGTTTGATGAACAAACATGGAAGATACATTCCTTTGAGACTACATGGGTACTTCTTACTGGACTTGAAGTTACAGTGTGTCTCACACATACACTTTTGCTGAGAGGATAGAATTGTAGCATTTAGTGCAGACTGATGAATGACAATAAAGTGTAAAAACTGGTCGGTTCCCCTGCTTTTAGCAAGTGGGAAAGAGATATTTTTCGTATTGTATTAACTGTTTTTTTCCTCTTGTGGACTGTGCCACCCAAATAAGTCAACATCAAGTATTCATGAAGTCGTTCAAAGAAGTCTTTTTTTTCACAGTTACAGGTTATTTTCCAGTTTGGCTTTCTAGGACAAGATACTTTCTATATGCCTGCCAAAAAGTTGGGAATTTCTGTCTATTTTTAAATGCTTTCTTTATGTCGGTAATGGTAAAAGCACAGGATCCTTTC